CAGTCTCTAGACACTCCTCATCCTTCTCTAGACTCTGCAGTGGCAGGGAAACAAGTCCCACCTCCTTTGAGAGGGTCCCCTCTGGGGAGCCTGTGTGGCTCGGTGGGTTGTTTCTGACCTCAGCTCAGGTCATGATTTCAGGGTCCTGGGATTGAGGCCAGCCTCTGTTTCTGCACTCAGCTTGGTGCCTGCTTATCCCTCATCTCTTACCCCCAACCCACCACTCCTGCTCCCTGGCTCTCTCTCAAACAAAATCTTTTTTTAAAAAATCAGGGAATATACAAAGGACACATATAAAGGGCCCCCTCCATACCCACACCCTGGAGAAGCTCCCCGTCATGACTCTCCCTAAGGATCACCCAGACCTGCTTTTGCATTTATCTCTCATCTGCTGTATACTATTTTGCATATGATAATAAGCAACCTTTTATTGTGAGACTAGATTCAAATCTAGGCACAACATTCTGTTGCGTTTAATCACACAACCTTGGGGCGCCTGGGTGGCTCAGTCGTTAAGTGTCTGCCTTCGGCTAGGGCATGATCCCAGGGTCCTGGGATTGAGCCCCGCATCGGGCTCCCTGCTCCGCAGGAAGCCTGCTTCTCCCTTACCCACTCCCCCTGCTTGTGTTCCCTCTCTCGCTCTGTCAAATAAATGAATAAAATCTTTAAAAAAAATAATAATCACACATCCTTTGTTAGGAAGCTCATCAATTGTTGACAATTTGTAAATAATGAAATCCTATCATTGAACACCAAACACCATGATTAATTATATGCTGTGCTTCTTCTAGTCTTGCTTTGCGATGTTATGTGTATATATTCATTAAGCACGGCAGCTCTCCACGCTTGCACTTACTAGCCAACAACGGGAGAGCTCTTTAAGGAGCAAAGGCCCCCACTGGAGCATGGACATTTCCTGACCCAGCTGGACAAGTGTGTCAAAACAAGGATGATGGACACCAGGCTGTCACGAGTGTTTGAGTTCTTATTGGTCTCTGTCCCTAAAGTGTGTAGTTCATGGCATTCAAGCATTTTTTAGGGCTCATGGGGAGAATGTTATCAAATATCCTACACTATGTCGCCGATTCTTTTTTCTTTTTTTTAAGGAGGCACCATGCCCAACATGACCCTGAGATCAAGAGTCAAATGCTGCCTTGACTGAGCCAGCCAGGCACTGCCCATTATGCTCCTGATTCTTATTGTATTTGTGCCATGCCCTGAAGAGTGACCATGCCCTGACACTGATTGGCCAGGCTCTCTAACTTAGCTCTACAAGAGAATGGCAATGAGGGCAGTGGACGGAAGGCTAATCATGAACTGGTTCTTTAAGTCTTATTTTTCATTGTCCCAGGAGTGTCCCTAGGCTCACAGGATTTCTGCATTACTAGGGCTTACTCATACTGACAATGCCATCAAGTACCATTAAAGGGTCTCCTCGATTCTGACCAGAATGAGATCAGGGGCCGAGGAGTAGGCCAGCATTAAAGCAGAGTTTGACTGGTTTGCCCTAGATGGTGCCTCCAAAGCCTCAGAATCTTTGAACTGACCACAATCACGTCTCTGAACTGACCACAACGGTGGCTTTGAACTGACCAGGCTTTCTATGTCCTTTTCATATTAATGACTCTGGCAAGATCTGTACTTCTATGGCTCAAGAGCTTCCCTGGGCTATGTGACTTCTGAGATTACCTCATAATGATAAACAGTGTTTGGGATTTCCCTTAGCTCAGGGAATTCCTGACATACACACAGATGTTAAAGCTCCTTTGCACAGTAACTAATGATCCTACAACTGAGTGATAACTGCAGTTCAGATCAGTAGTTAGAGCATGAGCACTAGGAGGACAGGCCTGGGTTCATATCTTGGCTCCTTTACATAGGAGTTCATGAACCTGGCCACATTCATCTCTGTGCCTCCATTCCTCCACCTGGGGAATAGGGAGAGTAAACAAAACATTGAATATGTGTGTGATGAGCACTGAATGAATTAACGCATGTCACGTGGTCAGGAAGGTTAATTAGAGGTCTTGTCTGAGATCTCACACTTTCACAAGTTCCAGAGCAGAATTCAAATATTGGAGACCATTGCCCTGTGACACACAGCTGCTTTGCCTAAATACAAGCATTTTACCCTAACACAATTTAGTTTGGGCAGAATCAGAGACATTAAAAAAAAAAAAAAGCTACTGCTGACTCCCTGAATCCACTCTCTGGGGCCCTTGATCAAAAATATCCATGACTGTTCTCTAGAATGTTCCAGTTGCCTGACTCATGGTCAGCAGATCAAATGAGATGAATCGCAGTGTACAGTAAGGGAGGGTCACTATTACAAAGTCTTGGTTTTAAAACATGTGAAACAATGCCATCTTGCATTATTTATTCCTCACACAAATAGAAGTGCCTCCAAACAAAATATGAGTTCCTGAGACCCTTGTCAACTCATCGAAAAAAACCATAGCTGAGCTTTTGGAAAGAGATCTGGAGGAAAGCTCAGGAGAACTAAGAAACACATTACATTCAAACCACTTTAATGAAGACTCGTTCTGCTTTCAAGCTACAATCCTATGTGCAAACGTGTGCAATTATCCATATATATACAAAGTTTGTGTCTCTACTCATGTGCCTACACCACCTATTTTTCTTTGTGCCTTACTAACAATCTATGTGCTTGGATATTGATCACTCATTAACTCGATTCATTAACCATTTACCCATCTTTCAGCATTGTTGAAAGACTGGCTATTCATTGGGTAACTGAGAAAAAAAGTCATTCTATTTTCACCACGCTTACCTCTGGGGAGCTGAATGGGATGGCTGGTAGCACATCACTGATAGCTCTAGAAAATGTAATTTTGGATAACACCCACAGTAGACATGGAAACGTGTATTTGGGGGTCATAAATGGAAACGCAGACTCTCATATTCTTAGGATCTCTTTGGGGCAACAATTTATATGAATGAACCAACGTGTCCCCAAAATACTGAAATCCATACCCATTTTGGGAGAAACGGTATAAGGAAGACATTGTAAAACATGGAGGAAACAATGATAAATAACCTCCATATCAACCTTTCTGGGTTCACTCTAAATTTCAGAAATAATAATATGAATCTATAATTTGGGACATTTAAAAAAACTTAAATGAAAACAGACATTGCCATATTTTCCCCCCATGAGACCCGAGTGGTGACAAGTGAGGGGTGCAAGATATACTAGGAAGTAGGACATTTTTCTCAATGGAGGACAAAAACCAAGACAGCTAGCTTGGTAGAATAACCAGAAATAGAAATCAAGGAATAAAGCAAAACTATAAAACATGTGTATAACTCTGGATGACAAGTGGGAGAGAGGAAAGTTTCAATGACGAGAAAAATAGTTTGGAAAGAGTTAACTATCTGGTTAGTAGCAAAGAGCATTCAGAAGATCTTTACGAACATACCACAACAGCAGCAGGAATTGAGATTGCCCATCTTCGGAGATGCTCCGTTCAGAGAGAGCAACACACATCAACGGGGTTGAAGTGCTCAGCTCAAACAGTGACAGTTGGAAAGGATAGCAGAGGTGCATCTCCCGTCACCATGGCGACGGTGTCATCATAGACCTTTCAGAGTCAATGCAGCTGCACGGTGGCCGACTGCTGCTGTCTAGACAGGTGCCTGTCTTCCCAGACAAGGGTGGCACGTGAGAGTAAACACTTGGTTTCAAAAGTTGAATCCCAGTCTCACACATTATCACTCAGTTTTTGAAAATAAATGACACGAGGGGAGATGCCCTGCCACCCAAATAGAGTCACTAGCCAAACTTCAGGTGAAGAGGGTAAAAGAAAAACATATTGAGAATAAACAGAGGTCCCATTCTTGATTTCAAACACCATCCCTACCGATTTCTACCATCCTGAGTCACCAGACATTTCTAGAACAAAGTTTAAAATGGGTCCCAGAGGAAATAAAAACCAGTGTTAACAGAAATTTCATTTTTCAAAGTTGTATTTCTCTAAGCATATACTAATGAAATTATGTCATTTGCTCACCGGCTATATATATTACATGATTTTTCTCGGTGTGTAGCTAAAACTAGGTACTTAGCATCTGCATTCGGCTCAGGTCACGATCCCAGCATCCTAGGATCAAGTCCCATGTCTGGCTCCTTGCTCAACGGGGAGCCTGCTTCTCCCTCTGCCTGCCGCTTCCCCTGCTTGTGCTCTCTCTCTCTTCAACAAATAAATAAAATCTTCAAATAATAATAATATTTTAGTAACATTGTATGGTGACAGATGGTGACTACATTCATCATGGTGAACACAGTAATGCATAGAATTATCAAATCAATATGTTGTGCACCTAAAACTAGTAACATTACATGTATATTAATTATACTGGATATATCTCAATTATACTTCATAATAAAAAAAGAAAAAATATAAGATGATGAATTGGCAGCCTAGTTCCCAATTTACACTAGTGCTCAGAAACATTTGCTAAAAGCAAGATTTCAAATTAACCATTGTCTTGATACTGGAGTAGAAAGAATAAAAACTGGAAAAGACCATGAGCTGGCGATCTCTCTTGCTCCTAAATTCCATCAGCTGCTCACTAACCCTAGCATCTGGATGTGCTGCTGAGATCAGAGAAGCCAAACCAGGGCTCAAAGCTTGAGTCAGTCTGCCGAATTCCTGTCCCCTGGTGGAGTAAGATATACTCTGGGACCTGAGCTCAAGGAATGAATAAGGCAGAGAGAACAGGCAGGTCTCCATTACCGCACTTCTAATCCTGACCCGCCCTCCCGCTAGATGTCCAGGCCATTCAAACAGGCAGCGCCTCTTTCTCTTTGGACTGACTGTACCAAATTACTGGACTCCTGGAGGACCTAAATCAAGCCTAGCTCTGCAGACATGAGACACATGGCATTTTCAGTCTTTTTGTCGTCATATACAAACTGACACACATAAATACAAATTCACATCCTTATTATAATGAACCTGACAGTCTGGATGGAGGCTAAGCATACAGCTGACCCAGCATTGAGTTCTAGGTCTGGGAAATACTCGCCATGCATGAGCATCATCTCATTTAGCCTTTGCAACAACCCTACAAGGCAGAATATCTGTTATCACATCCATTTTACAGAATAGGGACCTGAAGCCCATGGAGGTTAAGTCACACTGCTAGAAAGAAGTGAAGTGACAACTTGACCCCAAGAGTATTGGCTCAAGAATCTATGCTTGGATGTCCACAATAGCCAAACTATGGAAAGAGCCAAGATGCCCATCAACAGATGAATGGATAAAGAAGATGTGGTATAGATATACACAATGGAATATTATGCAGCCATCAAAAAAAACAAAATCTTGCCATTTGCAATGACGTGGATGGAACTAGAGGGTATTATGCTAAGCGAAATAAGTCAATCAGAGAAAGACATGTATCATATGATCTCACTGATATGAGGAATTCTTAATCTCAGGAAACAAACTGAGGGTTGGTGGAGTGGTGGGGGGTGAGAGGGATGGGGTGGCTGGGTGATGGACACTGGGGAGGATATGCGCTATGGTGAGCGTTGTGAATTATGTAAGACTGATGAATCTCAGACCTGTAGCTCTGAAACAAATAATACATTATATGTTAAAAAAAAAATAAAGGAGATAGTAGGAAGGGAAAAATGAAGGGGGAGAATCAGAGGGGAGGATGAACCATGAGAGACCATGGACTCTGAGAAACAAACGGAGGGTTTTAGAGGGGAGGGGGGTGGGGGGATGGGTTAGCCCAGTGATGGGTATTAAGGAGGGCACCTATTGCATGGAGCACTGGGTGTTATATGCAAACAATGAATCATGGAACACTACATCAGAAACTAATGATGGAATGTATGATGACTAGCATAATAAAATAAAAATTAAAAAAAAAAGGAATCTATGCTTGGAACCACCTCATTCTACTTTTGCCTGGAGTAGTTCAGGGTACAGAGAGAGGAAAATAAACAGACTTTCCAAATGGAAAGTTAGAAGCATGTGGTAAGGAAAATGATGGGGTCGTGGCAGCTTTCCAGACCCTAGAAATGTACAGAGAGAAAACTGTGGCTTCAAGTCACATAATCCAAGAGTGATGCAATCACTTGTCAATTCTGTTGTTTTGCAAATGTCTCATTTAACTCCTTCAAATCTAGAGTTAGGTGTGTCCTTCAATCCCCAGGTCAGTGGAAGTGTGGATACTTAGGGTCTTGAGGCAAAGACAAGTACCTGTCACAGCCCCCAAGGAAATACTGAGAATCCAGCAAATCTAAGTATCAGGGTAATTTCTTCAAGGATCCTTTATCCCACCTTGCCCTCTCCCTGGGCAGCAGCCTTTCCACACGAATTGCAGAACATAGAGATCATTCTTTATCATCAAATGAACTCATGTTTGTTTCCTGTTGATTGGAAGAAAAAGTGTTTGGTGACAGATTCCAAATGGTTTACTTGTTGGAGTTAGTTCCTGAGTCTTAACACAAACTTTGAAAGGGCATTATAGCAAAAAAAAAAAAAAAAAAAAAAAAGAAGAAGGTTCATTTGCACAGAAAACTCCCTGGCGAGGGACACAAGTCTCTGGAATACAGTGGTGACTTGGTGTCCTCAAACAAACAAAATATGTAACTTTAGAAGCGCTCAAAGTAGGTGTACTCGGATTGGCAGAAGGCAAAAGCTGCCAGAGTTGATGGTTTTAAAATATTAACAGAGCTAAATTTCACCCTGTCTCAGGACACAAGAGCATAAACATGATTCTGTTTGAGGAAAATAAAAAAGGCAACCTTAATCAACAACAGAAGGGACAAATGGTACAGGAGACCCTTGCTTCTCTGCTCTAAATATAGCTGAAAAATATACAGTTTGCAGCTGTATTTTAAATATATAACTTTTCTGGAAGCCAGTCCCCCTGTCATCATCTGACACTCCACTTCTGCCGGAGTTTTAACATTTTCAAAACGTACTCTTCAATGCCCACGTAAGAAAAATAGTCTAAAGGACATGAAGGCCATATGGGGATTCCTGTTGGACGACCACGTGCACTGAGATGAACTGCCCCAGTCGGAGGGAGGAGGCGAAGAGTGCAGATGGTTGTGTTAGCTGACCCGACAGGTCAGCCACTGAGACAGCCATTCCATTTGCTAAGATAACCGGAGTACTTCTTCTTCCCCTCAGGCTTCTCTGCATCCACCACGTGTCAGGACCCCTTTGGGTGAAAATCACAGCCACCCAACTCAACGAACAAGCTGAAGCAAAAAATGAAATCGATTGGCCTACGTGACTGCATGACTGCACGTGAATTCTCATGACTGCAAAATCTAGCCCAGGAGTCGCGGCCGGATGCTCAGTGTCATCAGACTTCCACCGTTTCCATCACCGTGGTCCTCTCAGATTTCTTTTCTTCCGGGTTGACTCCATCGTCCCAACAGAGGCCCCAAATGGCCTTTAACAACTCAGGCAAACAAAACAAAACAAACCCAAAAAAACCATCCGAGTCACATGCTCCAGGTTCTGAACCAATCACTGTAGCCAGAGGGATGGCTGATGCTGATTGGTCACAGCTGGGTCATGTGCTCACTGGTGGCGCTAGGAAAGAGGTGTATTACCCTATAAACCTGGAAGGATGGGTGATTCCCCACGAGTCCCCTGCAATAATTGGAAGGTGGGGAATAGAGTCTGGGCAGGCAAAAACAGAATTCATTCTATCTTCACTATGGGATATCCCGAGCCTTCTTGAACATCTCAGTGGAATCACCTCAAACATGGACACGACCCCCCTTCTTTATTGCCCAAGATGCCCCTATTTTGCATTACTGTGAATAATCCCTGCCATGGTCTGAATGTTTGTGTCCCCTTAAATCCATATACTGAAATCTTAACCCTCAATGTGATGGCATTAGGGGGTGGGGCCGTGGGAGGTGATTAGGTTATGAAGGTGGAGCCCTCACAAATGGGATTATAAAAGAGATCCCACAGAGGCGCCTGGGTGGCTCAGTCGGTTGGGCGACTGCCTTCAGCTCAGGTCATGATCCCAGAGTCCTGGGATCAAGCCCCACACTGGGCTCTCTGCTTGGCCGGGAGTCTGATTCTCCCTCTCCCTCTGCCCTGCTTGTGCTCTCCCTGTCTCTCAAATAAATAAATAGAACCTTTTAAAAAATTAAATTAAATTTTAAAAAAGAGAGATCCCACAGAGTTCCCTTGTCCCTCCCACCATGACAAAGCAAGAAGGCAGCAGCTATGAACAAGGAACGTGGCTCTCACCAGAAAATGACCATGATGCCCTAACAGCACTCCATCTGGTCTCAGGGGGTAACTTGCCTCAAGTGAACACACTCCTTACTTGCTGACCTAAGGCCCTTGACCTGTAACAGAACTAACTGCCTTGCTTTGAGATTTGCAGGCCGCTCACCTTAAGGAATGAAGAACCAGAACTTTCCCAGGCCACAGAGGCCAGCAAGTCTGTTTGAAGCCACCTTGGCTTTCTGATCAGCCTAGCAAGGGTCATGAGTTTGGGCCCTGCATTGGGCTCCACGGTGGGCATGAAGCCTATTTAAAAAAAAAAGAATTGTTGAATTGTGATATTATGCAATGAAACTAATATAACACTGTAGGTTAAGTATATTGGAATTAAAAAATAAATATAAATTTTTAAAAAACTGGTGCCTCCCAGTACAAATCAAAACCACAATGATATACGACTTTAAAACTACTAGGATGGGGGTGCCTGGGTGACTCTGTCATTTGAGCGTTGGACTCTTGATTTCAGCTCGGGTAGTGATCTCAGGGTTGTGGGATCGAGCTCCATGTTGGGTGTAGAGATTACCTAAATAAATAAAACTTAAAAAAAGAAATATATATAATGGAATATTATCCAGCCACACAAAAGAATGAAACTTTGAAATATGTGATCCTATGAATGGACCTTGAAAACATTATTTGGTGAAATGAGCCAGACACAGAAGGACAAATATTAGATGATTCTATTTACATGAGGTACCCAGAAGAGTTAAGTTCATAGGGACAGAAAGTAGAATAGAGTGCCTGGGGGAAGGTAGACCAGAGAGTTATTGTCTAATGGGTAGAGCGTTTTAGTGGAAGATGATGAATACGTTTTGGATATAGATAACAGTAATGGTAATTATACAACATTATTAATGTATTTAATGCCACTGAATTGTACATTTATGAATGGTAAAAATGATAAATATTATGTTATGTATATTTAACCACAATATTAATTAGTTGATCGACTGGTTAATTGGCAACTCCCAAAATTTTGTCATTTTTGCTTTTGTTGATGTTTTACAGGAAAAAACTATAACTAGAAATGTACTACCTGAAATGTAGGGACTTGGATATCACAGATAAACACTACAGTCTGTGATCGTGCAAGTATTCATTACACAAGCATTACTGAGCACCTACTGTGTGCAAAGCACACACCACGTTAGGAACTTGGGGAAGAAGGGTACAAAAACAAATGAGTTTCAGATTGTACTCTGAAGGTAGAATGGTCAGATTTAGCAAATAAAAACACAGGATTGCCCAGTTATGTTTGAATTTCAGGTAAACAACAAATATGATATCCCATGCAATGTTAGGAATGTCCTTTTACTAAATGTTATTCATGGTTTATGTGAAATTAAAATTAAACGAATGTCCTGCACCCTTGATGGAAGAAATTTATAGTCCAGTTAGAGAAATAAGACATTCACAAGTCACCAGAAAACAAAGTACAATAAGCTGAGCATCTGTAGGTCAAGGGTGGGCCCCCTGGGTGGCTCAGTTGGTTAAGCGTCTACCTTCAGCTCAGGTCATGATCCCAGGGTCCTGGGGTCAAGTCCTGTGTCGGGCTCTTTGCTCAGTGGGGAGTCTGCTTCTTCCTCTCCCTCTGCCTGCCACTCTCCCTGCTTGTGTTCTCTCTCTCTGTCAAATAGATAAAGTCTTTTTTTAAAAAGTCAAGGGCTGTGAGAATTTGGAGGTAGAAATTATTATATTTAATTGTAAATGGTCTGCTATTTTAGTAATATACAAATATATGTGAAGTTACTAAGTGGAGAAAACAGGCTATTTTCAATACTTTTATCGTTTTTCTTCCTCCCCTCGCCTTTTTGCTTACTCTACATTGTTGCTCCACATCCACCCGCCAGACATTTGAGAAAACGTTCCTGTTTCCAGGACTGTTCCAGGCGCCAGGGGCAGATTGGTGATTGTCCTGCCTTCATGGGGTTCACAGTTTGGTAGGGAAGACAGGCAACAACGGGGAAAGGTCAGAGAACAGAATCACTTGCGATAGCAATGACAACAATAGGAGAAGGTGGGCTGAGTGTGGAGGCTGTGTCGGGGGCTCCAGAAAGGGCATTCTGAAGAATGGACACTTGGGCGGAGGCCTCAGTGGTGTACAGCTGCCTGCCAGGCACATGTCCCAGGGAAAAGCATTGCAGGCAAAGGGAACAGTAAAAATCCTGAAGCAGAAACAAAAACGAGGCCAAAGAGCCTGGGGCGTAATTACACACGGTACATTCTCATTAAACAATTGTTTATTCTCTTTTTTTCCCCCTAATCCTTTTATTGAAGGGTGTGTATGTTTAAACCGAAATGGTTAAATGATAGGCAGCCAAAGAAAGAAAATAAAGCTAGGCATTGCAATAATCCACAAACTATTAGATAGACTACAATGATTTTTAGGGTCCATTTTAAGCCCACTTTTCTAAGACATATTTTCCAGACTAATAACAGATTAATCCAAAATAACAGAATACTTCCAGAATAATCTCAATCACTTATAATGTATCGTGTCATTTACATGCATTATCTCATTCAATCGTCTACCAATGCAGAAGCAAATGCTCTTATCATCCCCATTTTATAGATGCAGACAGAGACCCAGAGAGGTGATCTAGTGGTCAGCAAGACTGAGATTGGAGGCCTTGTCACTATGCTGTACTACTTCCTTCTTTTTTTAAGATTTTATTTTTTTATTTGAGAGAGAGAGAGCACAAGCCGGGAAGAGGGAGAAGCAGGCTCCTTGCCAAGCAGAGAGCCCAACACGGGGCTCGATCCCAGAACCCCGGGATCATGACCTGAGCTGAAGGCTGATGCTTAACCAACTGAGCCATCCAGATGCCCCGGCTTCTTTCTACTTTTGAAGACAGCAGGAACCCACGGATATTAGGATGCGCTGATTGACCCACCAAGAAAAATGAGTCAGGTCCCTGATCTTGGCTAAAGAGAAGTTTTCTCCTTCCTTCTTTGTTGCATGCCCTCCATTCCAGCAGTTCCCAGGCAGATCTCCACGAAAGAACTCTGCCAGCCTAATGGCAATATTCCTTTCAGATGCCTAAACTCAGTATTACTGTTGTTGATTATTATTGTATTGTATTACTATTGTATTGTATTACTATTATATTGTATTACTATTGTTGATTATTATTGTTGTTATTTCTTCTTATGTCATCTATCACAATTTTGAATTAAGTAATTCTGTGTGATTGTTGAATATCTGTCTTTCTAACTAGCATGAAAGTTACATGAGATCAGGGGAGTGAGAGGCATCTATTATATATTTTTTTAAATAAATTAAGACAGTCCCCTTTGGGACCTCCTGTTAAGGTTTAAAAAAACAATCAGATATTTGACCAGCAAAATTGCATTTACTTGGGATTAATAGAGATTGCAATTCAGGAGCTGCAAGCTATGGCAAAACCATAGACAAGTTCAACAAACAAAGGAGAGGGACTTATTTTATGGCAAAGAAGGAGGAAGTTCGGAGAGGTTGTTTTGAAGGAAAGTCCATTGGAGAAAAGCAAGAATTAAGGGGTTGTCTGGGTTGCAGGGGTTGTCAATTTCTTGTAGGAGATGGAATGTGCATCTTTTCCTGCTGGGCCCTGTAATTGATGATTCTTTCCTGTTGAGGATTCTTGGGTTGGATCTGTAATTGACAATCCTTCCTATAGCTGACATTGAGTGCTGTTACTGTCCCTTCCAGCCTCCCCTTCTAGCATGCGAAGTCCACATTGACAAGGCTTCTCTTTATTTTCACAAGCTAGGACCATATCGAGAGTTGAGAGAATGTTTTTCCATCTCTTTGCATCACACATACATTGTGAGGGAAACAGTGTTAACCCCGCTATAAATTAAGCCTTAAAAATGAGGTGTAGCCTTAAGCCAAACACTTAGCTAAGCTCTGTTTGCTCATTTATTCAGCAACCCTTTACTGCACCTATTATGTTATCATTCTAGGCTCTGGGACAGAGCAGTGAGCAAGAACGAAAACACTGCCTTGGGGGACCTTACATTCTAGGGAGGATAGCAGGTACTCCGAAAATAACCAAGTGTACACTAATTGTATAAGGTAAATGGGGATGAGTTAAGAGGGATGGGGGATGAAAGAGGGAACAAGGGTAGGGAGAGTGTATGTATTTTGAGCGAGTGGGAGGGTTGCAATTTTAGAAAAGGATGTCCAGGTAAGGGCTTTCTGAGAAGGTGGCATTTATCAAATGGCAATACAGTGTCTATTTCTTGGGCCTGTAGCGAAGATCTAATAAGAAAATACAAGGATTCATTAAAAAATCTTCGATAGGCCCAAAAACGGACCCAAAAGCCCTGTATGGAAAGAGGCCCGCCTGGTACTCACAAAAAGGGAAACGTTGGTCACGGCGGAATGGTGATCGAGATGGACGTTTGCCCCAGACGGACCGGTGATCCCGCTAAAAATTGGCCCGGGCGGAAACGTTGGCCAAGGGGAATGTCAATCCCGGAGGAACCTCGCGCGACAGGGCAACACTCTGCCCGGGCGTATGGTTACCCTGGCAACGCCCACGCCGGGTGGGCGGAGGCAGCGGCGGAAGGAGTCACGGGGGCGGGGACGGAGGCGGCGCTTTTGGCGGAAGTGCGCTCTCCGCCGCTGCGGCAGGGAAAGATGTCGCGTTTTGTGTGCTGGTGGCTGTTCTTCGCACTGGGCAGCCTCCTGGCGCGGCAGGCGG